GCAGGGTTTCTGCAACTCAAGACCTGCCACCCCACTCCCCTGCACTGTTGTGGGGGCGGGGGGGGGCGCGGTTCCTGGGCACTGACTGGTTGAGTTCTTTGTACCAGTTGTCTCCCTCCCTCTCCCAAAGGCTTCAAAGCCTTGGGTGCTGGGCTCTGAGACTGGGGTTCACAAGGCTTGGGGGATCCCAGCCTGAATGTGGAGTGGCTATCTCCCTCGGGGGCCCCTTCCTGTGCGTGTTCCCTCCTGTTAACACAGGGACATCAGCGTTCCTGCGGCTGAGCTTGCCCTGAGTGGCCAGCCTGTGCCAGTTTCCAGTGAGGGGCCAGGCCCTGCAGGCTGGCTGTCGGGGAAGGAGGAGGACTGCCTCTCGGCCCCCACCTATCCAGTGGGGCAGTACTAGCCGCCCCCCCCTTGCCCCGTAGAGGGAACCCCAAGGACAGCTCCTGCAGCAGCACCTGGCATGAGGACCACAGCTGGGAGCACTCCTCAGAGTGCCCCCTGCAGCCCCCACCAGCTGCCGCATCCCAAATTGGAGTCGTTTATTTCCACTGTGCTCTCCCCGCCCCAAGAGTTTTTATTTATTTGTTTTTCTGACAGCGCACAAGCACGGGGAGCAGAGGGAGAGGGAGAAACAGGCTCACTAAGCAGGGAGTCCGTCCTAGGACCCTGGGATCATAACCCGAGCCAAAGGCAGACGCCTAATGACTGAGCCACCCAGGCGCCCCTGGAGTCATTTATTCTTATCTTGGTGCCCCCCTCTTCATAGCCACGCACTCACAGATCTGACTGTCCTCTCTCTGTTCCCGTCCCTGCCACTGCCGCCTGCCCCCGCCACTAGCCCAGCCCTCAGCGTCTCACCTGTTTCCGTTCTCCACACTGCTCCTGCCAGTTTTCCCCAGGATGGTCTGGGCCTGCACCTCCCTTGCTTCAGGCTCCCCCCCTGCTCCCTCAGAAACATTGTCCTCACCAGGGCAGGCAACCCCTGTCCACACCCTTCCCAGCAGCCCCGTTGCCCCTGTACTCCCAGCCTCAAGCCAACACCGGCCTCCTGGGAGTCTCCGGGCTGCGCCTCACTCCTTCGTGCCCCAGACTGTTGGTTGCTCTGTCCCTCACTCCCAGTCCGCCCCTCAGGGACACACTCTTCCTGGCTGTATCACTCCCTGTGTCTCCCCGCCGCCCCCCCCCACCCAGACCTCAGCATATGGGGATAGCCAGTCTTCTTTAGAGCTTGTCCCCCCGTGCCTTGCGGTTTATCGGGGTGGATTGGGTAAATTAGTCCCCATTTTACAGATGAACAAACCAAGGCACAGAGGGGACGAATTGGCACAAACAAGGTGTGGTGTTGGGGTTTGCTCTGACTCCACTGCCGGCCTCTCCTGCCTTGGTCCTCCCCCTTCCGGTATGAGCTTTCCAAGCTGGGGGTCTAGAGGTCTCTTTCAGGGATGGGAGCTAACCTTTCCCTTGACTTCCTTGACTCTGTCACTTGGGCCACAGTACCTGGAGCAGCTTAATTTTGGCAGCCTTGGGAGTTGGGTTGGGGCTGTGAGTCCCCTAGAACGGGCTCTCTGGATTCTGTCCTTTGCCTGCTTTCAGTGCCTCAGTTTCTCCTGTCTCCATACAGAGGGTCAGCTCCTAGCCCACCTGGCACTGAGTTTGAGCCCTTGAAAGAAGTGTGCTGTCTTCTGATGGAAGAGTCCCTGTCTCCGCCTAGCCCCTAAATTGTTTTTTCTGGCAGTGACCGTGATTTTGATGATGACAAGGAGGCGGAGGGTATACCCAAGGGAAATCACAAGTTTCAGTGCCCACACAGAATCTTGTCCCTATTACTTACCCACCAGTGACCTTGGAAGGGTTCTTGGCTTCCCCGTGGCCTCAGTTTTCCCATCTGAGAACTGGGAGTATGAAATTGGCCCCTTAGGTTTGCTAAGAGGGTTCAGAGAACTTCTTGCAGGGCACCGGTCAGCTCTTTGGAAGCATGGGTGCTGGAAGGGGTGGGGCCTGCTGGTGTCTCAGGGTTCCACCACATGCAGCAAGTTCAAGAGGACAGACTGCATTTGTGTGATAGGGTTGGCCTTAGCAACATTTGTTTCCAAATGGACAAGTAGAGATTTGGAGTTCATGCTCCCAGGAGGGAGTTGATTCTGGAGCCGGCACTTGCCCATGAGTCTGTGCAGCATAATTTGAGTCTGGTGGTACCAGGTAGGGCCCCTGTGTCCCAGTGTTCAGCCTGTGGAGGCGGCTCAGGAGGGACTCACTAGTGAGTGGAAAATGTGAAAGACACATGAAAGCTAATCTGGGAATGAGGGGAAACAGCTGGGGTCTCTAGTTGGTACCTGCCCCAGGGCCTTTGCACACATGCTTTCCTCCTTTCTCCTCACCAGCCCAACTCTTCTCATACCCATCCTGCCCATTCAGGACCACTGCCTCCTGTATTTTATAGAGCTGCAGGGGACTCACTTTTACCATGGGTACAGTCGTTAAGCCACATTGTCCTTCAGAGCCCTTTTATGAGGGCACTCAGACTATTGGACATGCCCAGTTCTGGATTGGAATGTGCTGGAATGTGCAGTGATGGAATAGGCTGTGAAGCAGAAGTTCACATTTGACAGGTGCCTGCGCTCACTAGTGGCGCAGGGTCACGGACAGTTCCTTTTTATTTTTTTAGTTTATTTTTATTTTTTAAAATTATTTTTTATTTATTTGACAGAGAGCACAAGCAGGGGGAGTGGCTTGCAGAGGGGGAGGGAGAAGCAGGCTCCCCACTGAGCAGGGAGCCTGACATGGGGTCCATCCCAGGACCCTGAGATTGTGACCTGAGCCAAAGGCAGATGCTAACTGACTGAGCTACTCAGACATCCCTCCTTTTTTTTTTTTCTTTAAAGATTTTTTATTCTTGTGTATTTTAGAGAAAGGGAGAGTGGGGGAGGGGGAAAAGGAGAGAGAATCCCAAGCAGACTCTGTTCTGAGGTAGAAATATTATCTTTTTTTTAAAAGATTTTATTTATTTATTTTGACAGACAGAGATCACAAGTAGGCAGAGAGGCAGGCAGAGAGAGAAGGGGAAGCAGGCTCCTCACAGAGCAGAGACCCCGATGTGGGGCTCAATCCCAGGACCCTGGGATCATGACCTGAGCCAAAGGCAGAGGCTTTAACCCACTGAGCCAGGCACCCCAATATTATCTATTTTTGTAAATAAGCAGTAGGATCACTAGGTTCAAAATTCAAAGGAACCACAGTATTCATGACAAGTATGAATTTTTTCTTATCTCCTTCCTTGGCTTTATTGAGTTGCATGTAGCACGGACTCCATTGAAAGCATATAGTTGAATGGTTTTCAGTACAGTTGACCCTTGAATGACGAGTGGGTTAGGGGCACTAACGCCCCCCACCAATGCACACGCAAGGTCAAAAGTGCACATACAACTTTCAAGTCCCCCCACCCCGAACTTAACAGCCTACTTTTGATCAGAAGCCTTACTGATCACCGTTAACACATATTTTGTATCTTATATGTGTTCTATGTGATTAGGTAAGCTAGAGAAAAAAATGTTACTAAGAAAATAATAAGATTTGCTGGAGGGTTCAATCAGTAGAGCAGGCGACTCTAGATCCTGGAGTTGTGAGTCTGAGCCCTGCCTTGGGTGTAGAAATTAAAGAAAAGGAGAGGGGGGAGAAAAAAATCATAAGGAAGAGAAAATACATTTGCAGTCCTGAACTATTGAAAAAAATTCTGTGTATAAGTGGACCCACACAGTTCCAGCCCGTGGTGTTCGAAGATCGATTATCTATTCAGACTTGTGTGCACATGACCACAATTTTAGACCATTTTAAGTTACGGCAAGAAGAAACGCCCGCATCCTTCTGCTCGCCACCCCACACCCCACCTAGCCCCTGGCAACCACTACTCTGCTTTTTTTGGCTCCGGATTTGCCTGTTTTGGACATCTTACATAAACGGGATCATATAATACACAGTTCTTATGTCCATCTTCTTGCATTAGCATGTTTTCAAGGTTTGCCCTTAGAATGGTGTGTATCAGTGCTTCGTTCCTTTATATGGGTGAATAATATTCCATCATATGACCGGACCTGGGGGTTTTTTTTTTTTTTTTTTTTTTTTTAAGCCATTCATCAGTTGACGGACGTTTGGGTTGTTCCCGCCTTTCTGGCGCTTGCGAGTGGCGCCATAGACACTCACATACAGGTGTTTCTGTGGGTACAGGTGTTGGTTTATCCTGGGTATAATTCTGAGGATTGGAATTGCTGGGTCATATGATAATTTCGTGTTTAATCACTTGAGGACCTGCCAGACTGTTTTCCATAGCAACTGCACCATTTTACATTCCCAGCCACAGTGTAGGAGGCTTCCGATCTCCTCCTTGCCAACACTTGTTGTCTGTCTTTTTGATTCTCTCCAGCCTAGCTGGTACGAAATGGTGTTTCGTTGTGGTTTGCATTTGCATTTCCCTGCTGCCTGGTGCTGTCCTCGTGCAGCCTCAGAGTTCCCTGAGTGCTCCCTTAGTCATTCAGCCAAGATGATCGGGGGTCATGTCCTCAGCACTGCAGCCACGGTGCGAAGACCCGATGCCCCTGACCCTTTGGTATCTCGGTGCCAGTCCCCTGCAGAGTTCCCCCGTGTGTGCTGCGCTAGCGATGGCTAACACTCAGAATTCTCACTGTGTTGACTCATTTAGTATTCAAACACACATGTGTACGTACACTTTTGCCCCCACACCCCCACCGGAAGGGGCCACCGTGGCCACCTGGCCCTGGAGCTGCCATGCCTGATTGGACAGTCTATCATAGAGGCAAGTCTGTGCTGGGACCAAGGGTGTGGGTGGCTGCCGGCAATTCTCACCGCCACGGCAAATCCCACCATGTGGACGTCTGCTCCCACGTGTCTCCCTGCCGCACGTGAGCTTCGTGAGTGGCGGGGGGGGCACCGAGTGTGCTGCCTGACCCCGTCCCTCTGTCTCTCTGTCCCTGTCCCCTGTGCAGCTGCCGCCATGGCCCAGACCCTGCAGATGGAGATCCCGAACTTCGGTAACAGCATTCTGGAATGTCTGAATGAGCAGCGGCTACAGGGCCTATACTGTGACGTGTCTGTGGTGGTCAAGGGCCATGCCTTTAAAGCCCACCGGGCGGTGCTGGCCGCCAGTAGCTCCTACTTCCGGGACCTGTTCAACAGCAGCCGGAGCGCGGTGGTGGAGCTGCCGGCCGCCGTGCAGCCCCAGTCCTTCCAGCGGATCCTCAGCTTCTGCTACACAGGCCGGTTGAGCATGAATGTGGGTGACCAGTTCCTGCTCATGTACACAGCCGGCTTCCTGCAGATCCAGGAGATCATGGAGAAGGGCACTGAATTCTTCCTCAAGGTGAGCTCCCCCAGCTGCGACTCGCAGGGCCTGCACGCCGAGGAGGCCCCGTCATCCGAGCCCCAGAGCCCCGTGGCCCAGACATCCAGCTGGCCGGCCTGTGGCACCCCGCTGCCCCTTGTGTCCCGCGTCAAGACAGAGCAGCAGGAGTCAGACTCTGTGCAGTGCACGCCAGTGGCCAAGCGGCTGTGGGACAGCGGCAGCAGTGGCGGTGGCAATGGCAGCCGCAAGATGGCCAAGTTCTCCACGCCGGACCTGGCTGCCAACCGGCCACCCCAGCAGGCCCCAGTGGTGGCAGCGGCGCAGCCAGCCGGGGTGGCGGTGGCGGCGGCTGCAGGGGCTGGCACTGGGCAGCCGGCAGGGGGAGCGGCGGCCACAGCGGCAGCAGGGGGCGTGGTGAGTGGGCCCAGCACGTCAGAGCGGACCAGCCCGGGCACCTCAAGCGCCTACACCAGCGACAGCCCTGGCTCCTACCACAACGAGGAGGACGAGGAGGAGGATGCTGGCGAGGAAGGCACAGACGAGCAGTACCGGCAGATCTGTAACATGTACACCATGTACAGCATGATGAATGTCGGCCAGACAGGTGAGGCGCCTGCCCTGCCCGCCCCAGCCCTGCCCCTACACCCCCCCCCCCCCCCGCAGCCAGCCCCCTTCCGCAACACATGCTGCTCTCTGCCCCCAAAGCCGAGAAGGTGGAGGCCCTCCCTGAGCAGGTGGCCCCCGAGTCCCGGAATCGCATCCGGGTGCGGCAGGACCTGGCGTCTCTCCCGGCTGAGCTCATCAACCAGATTGGCAACCGCTGTCACCCCAAGCTCTACGATGAGGGTGACCCCTCCGAGAAGCTGGAGCTGGTGACAGGTGGGCCGGCATCACTTCCTCCCCAGATTCCCTGCTTCGCCCCAGGGTCGGGCCTCTGTGTCCTCTGAGCTACTGGCTTGTGGGATGGTGGTTAGGAGCTGGACTTGGGGTCTAACCCCACCCCTGCTACCACCTGCTGGCTCTGCCCTAGGGCAGCTGACCCCCCTTGGCATTATACGTGCCCGAGACTGGCCTCCAGGTTTCCGCACCAGAGGCTGATATGAGCATTGACGGGCACCGATGGCAACACGGGCTGATGAGCGGCTTCGTGGGGCGGTCGGAGGGTTGACTAACACAGTGGTTAAGAATCTTGGCTCTCGGTGTCAGGTTGCCTTGGCGTGAGCTTCCACTGCCTGTTCTTTCTGGTGCCCAGGTGGTTGTGTGGGCAGAAGCCACACGAGCGCAAGCAGGCTCGGCACGCTCTAGGTGCCCCGTGGACAGTGGCACCACCAGCTGGCCTTTCCTGATCACTGACCAGGCCATGCCAGGGCGAGTTGTCAGGGGTCGTCTTGGCCGGGCCCAGGCCAGGGCTTGGCCAAGTGGGGAACGGGGCAATCTGGGGCCCCTGGCCACCCTCCTGCTCCCCACTCCAGGCACCAATGTGTACATCACGAGGGCGCAGCTCATGAACTGCCACGTCAGCGCGGGCACGCGGCACAAGGTCCTGCTGCGGCGCCTCCTGGCTTCCTTCTTTGACCGGTGAGGCCCTCACAGAGCCCAGATGGAGGGGAGGACGGCTGCCCCCGCCCCACCCCCTGTCCCCCACTGCAGAGGGCCTGACTCCACCCCACACCCATGCTCCCCACCTCAGGAACACGCTGGCTAACAGCTGTGGCACCGGCATCCGCTCTTCCTCCAACAACCCCAGCCGCAAACCGCTGGACAGTCGCGTCCTTCACGCTGTCAAGTGTGAGTGTCTGGCCTTCTGGAGTCAGGCTGGGGTGGGGTCTGGGGGCAGGCAGATGGTCCTCTTCGATGTTGACCCTGATAGGTGGGTGGGGATTAGTGTTAAGAAGGATTCTGAGGCTGAGTCTGAACTTGGTAGGAAGAGGACTGGGATGGGTTACAGATTTCTTCACAGTTGCAGGGGTGGGGAGGGTGGACACTGAAGGTAAGCCTGTGTCAGATGGTGGGGGGCAGGGGAAGGGTCCTTGGGTAGTCATGGGAGCAATGAAGCAGCCAGTCCCCAGCCGTCTTCAGGAGGGAAGTCTAGGTTTTCACCTGGAATCTCACCATTCCTAAATTCTGGCAAATGACCCAGGTTTTTCAAGAGCACTGGGGCACCCTCTCTGATCCCACACCTGGCCAATCTCAGGCATGGAGCCAACTGGTGCGGTTTAGCGACCTGGCTTGTGAGGCGTCTATTCTCTCACCTCAGAAGGGGGGTTCAGGGGTGCCACATGCACGTGTGTGTGGGGGGATTAAGGTGCAATGTGGCTGAGTGTTGTCAGTGTCAGAGGCCAGTGCTGTGCTCTGCCTGAGCCGTGTGCTCCGCCCTCACAGACTACTGCCAGAACTTCGCTCCCAACTTCAAGGAGAGCGAGATGAACGCCATCGCAGCTGACATGTGCACCAATGCCCGCCGTGTCGTGCGGAAGAGCTGGATCCCCAAGCTCAAGGTGCTCATGGCCGAGGGCGACGCCTACACCACCTTCATCAGCGACACGGGCAAGATAGAGCCGGACATGATGGGCGTGGAGCACAGCTTTGAGACGGCCAGCCACGACGGCGAGGCCGGCCCCTCGGCCGAGGCCCTCCAGTAACTACCACCGGACCCTCCCCGCGGGGCCGTCACACTCCCCCCACCCGACCCCCTCACACCCACCCACCATCTTGGTCACGAGCTACTGTCTGTCCCTCCCCAGGACCCGCGGGGGGCGCTGCATGCTCCCAGCCCCTCTGCCTCCTCATCCCACCCTCCAACCACCATCCGAGTGGGCTAGGAGAGGGCGGCAGCCGGTGCGAGCTCTGCGCTGCCTCTCTAGCATGCTCGGGCACCGCTGGGGAGCCTGCGCTCCTCCTCCCCTAACCTCCAGCAGTGGTCTCCCCACTCACCAGGCCAGGTATGGGGAGGGGCCGGCCTGGGGGGCTCAGGAAGGCCCCTTCCCCAGGCCCGGGGCCCCAGGGTTCTCAGGACCCCTCCTGCCACCACCACCCAGTGCTTCCATGTTTCCAAAAGCGCCTTCCTGACTCCCTCGTCTGTCCCTGCGCCTGGGGGCTGGGGTAGGCGAGGCCGAGGGGACTGCCCATTTCACAGCTGAGGGAACCCAGGCTCAGAGGAACTCCACCATTGACCTAAGGTGGTGGGCGGTGGCGGGCCCGGCGCCCTTCTCTCCCCTACCCCCCACCCTGCGCCCACCTCTCTTGCCCCCATCTGTCTCCTGGGGCCTGAGAGGGGCAGGTTCCGAGTGGGGGGCTCTTGGAGGCAGGCCACGGGTCTCTTGGAATAGAATGAAAGGTTTCCTGGGCTCGCAGAAGTTGTGTGTATGTGTGCGCGTGCGTGTGTGTGTGTGTAGACGTTTTTGCTTTTAAACAAATGAAGATATGAGAGGCAGTAGGGCCAGGGCTGGAAGTCAGGGGAGCAGGCTGGGGGGCTGCTGCCCTTGCCCCCCACCCCCACCCCCTGGCCCCAGCCCCTGTACATACTTTTTAAAGCATTTTTTTAGCTAATGAAATACTGAAGTATAAGATTCCTTTTATTTTTCAAACCAATGGGACTGTGTCTGATGTCCCCTTCAGTCCTGGGGGACGTGGTGGGGGCTGGGGGCAGGGTGAATGCTTGCGTGTGTGTGGAGTGTGGGTGCGCAGTTCTGAGGCTGGGACTCGGCCAGGCCTCTGCTTGGGCTCTGTGGGTCTGACCAGGACCCCCTTGCTCCGCTGCTCCCCAGCGGGGTTCCATTTGAGGGGTGGCCCTGGCCTTAGCCCGTTGGCTGAGCCCAGCTTCTGGGGACAAGGCAGGGCCCGCTTCCATTGTTAGCAGTTTGCAGAATTTTCTCTAACCATTCCTCTTCCTATCCTCGCCCAGTACGAGGAATTTTTTTTTTTTTTTTTGAATTTTACATGTGAACTTTGGAGGGTTCTTTTTTTTTTTTTTTTTTTTTTTACTCCCTGTTCCCCCACACTGGGTGTCCTTTTCTTCAAAATTTTCACCTTTTCCTTTCTAGCCCTGTCCCCACTGCCTCTCGTGTCTTCCCCGATCTGACCGGCCCATTGCTCCCATTGCTCCCAGCGGCCTTTCTAGAGGCAGGGGGGTTGCAGGAGGTGGGGAGAGGGGGGGTGGCGGCCAGCCCTGACTGGACCCTTGGAATCTGACTTGGAGGCCTCCCCCACCACCCAGGAGCCCCCACCGGTCTGCAAGGGGGTCGCTTCTGACATCTTGTTGTGGGGATGGGGGGGGGTGTCTGGTCTGGCCAGTGTCCTGGCACTCTGCTTTCCTGGCCTGGCCCCCGCACCTTAGCTCTCAGCCGGCCCAGTGTATGGGGGGGAGTCGACGCCCCAGCTAAAGCACAAGCACCTTAGTCGCACCTCCCCCACGCCCTTGTCCTGGCCTTGACATCCTACCCCAGCATCGATCCCAAAGCACAATATCCTGGTCACTTGGCAAGCTGCCGGGCCGGCCAAGGCCGAGGGGCCGGCTGGGGCTCCAGCCAGACCCCACAAGGAAGGAGTCCTAGGCGCTGCCCTCCTTCCAGGCCTTAGCAGGGGCCAGCTCTCTGGGACTGGGGTCTTCTCCCTCCGCAGCCCTTTGTCCTGGATACGCCCCCGCCCAGCCCCTCCCTGCCTTGTCCCCGGGTGGGGCTTGCCCGTGTCCCTCTCCCAAGCCCCTGTAGCACTGGGTTGGGTGGCAGAGCCCCCTCATTTCAGGGACCCCAGGAGGTGCCCCTGGCCCCGGGGACTGTGTTGGAGGGGAAGGGAGGGGAGGGGGGTGGGCAGGGGTGCAGGGGAGGAAACTCCTCACCAGGAGAGCCAAAGACAGGGTTGTGCCTTACCCCAGGAGCCACCCCTGCGTCCCTCCCGCCCTGCCCTCCCCACCTCCTGGGCGGCCTGCTGCTTTTCCTTCTCTCCCCACCCCTGCCCTGCCCTGCTCTGAGCTGCATGGTCCCCCCAACCCCGGGCAGCCCAGGGAGGAGCACGAATGGAGAATCACCAACCAACGCAAAAAAAAAAAAAAAAGACTGTGGGGGCCCCCCTTCCGCCTCCCCTGGCCGCCCACTCACCCACCTCTTTCACGCAGGACAGACCGCCCGCCCTGTCCGTGTGAAGTGCCAACGGCCTCCCCGCCCTGGGCCGACCCCCCACTCCCCGGGCCCGTAAGTGAGATTGCACATTAACTACTGTAAGGAGAGGAGCCGCACTGGGAAATGTGAACCATGAGAATATCAGTGACACTGATGAGGAGAATAAACTAAACGCCTTTGTAACAGCCCTGCCGCATGCCGCTCTCTGGGGGCAGGGGGCAGGGCCCAGGGAGGGACAGATGCAGCACCCGGTGGCCGGGGGTGGGGTGGGGGGGTGGGATGGACGGGGCCCTCGCTGCAGGCTCAGTGTGCGCTGGGGAACTGCCGTTGCAGGCATCGCATCTGTGTGAGGGGTGGGGGCGGTTCCCCCATTCAGATGGGGAACCCCCAGTTAAAAGGCTCAAACCCAAGCTGCCAGTAGCTGCCCCTTGGAATGGGGTGCCTGGCTGGCTCGCTCGCAAGAGTGTGGACTTTGATTGCAAGATTGTGAGTTTAAGCCCCACGTTGGGGCTTGTTAAGTAGCTTCCACTTAATAGCACCCTTCTGGCTACCCTAGTGTATACAGACACGATGCCCTGGAGCTCTTCTGCACATGCACGGGCCCGAGGTCCTGTGTCCCATGGGATCACCCCCCAAGAAGGGCCTCTGTTGAATTGGCTGCAGGACAGACAGACTGGCTCGTTCCCCTTCTGTGGCCGTTTGACACCCCTAGTCCCAGATCTACATCCTGAACACACCCACACCCTTCACCGCGGCTGAGCTGGGGCGCCCATGCGCTCCTGCATTGGAAGGAACAGGAGTGGGGATGGCGAGTCACATTTGGCCAGTGTCCTTTAAAGTACCGTGGACAGCTGTGGGTCCTGAGGATAGGGAAGGACAAAATGTCCTCTCAGGTCTGATGGAAAAGACACAGATGGGCTGTAAGGCACCCCAATTCAGAAATATTTCTAGTAGCGTGGGAAGGTTATTCATCAATGTTAGGGGTCCTGTCAAGTCAGAAAATAATCTGGGAAGGGAGGCTTCATCCCCTGCCCAGGCCAGGCCTGCCCACTCCCCAATTAGGGGAGCATCCAGACATCATGGGGAGATGATCAAAGGGGATTTCAGTTCCCAGGGAGGCCTGGATGTGTCAAGAAAACCAGCCCCCTGCCCCAACCAGCTGCCAGAAAGTAGGGTTTTGAGAGCCAGTGGCATCAACAGAAAAACCAGTCACTTCAGGTAACGGGAAGTCTCCTCTGAACAGGAAGGCTGCCCCAGGTAAGTGGAAACACCATCTGATTCCGAAAGTCCTGTCTTTGAACCCCAGGAAGACTTGGAACTAACTATACAAAGATCAAGCAAACCCAAGCCATAGCATCAGTGGGTTTGCATCAGAAAGGGAATCTGTACCTATTTGGTTCTTTTTAATATCGGACAGATGAGCCTGATGTAAGGACATTCTTGTAACAGGCAGTACTTCCTGGTGTGTAAATGAGCGACCGAGAGGCATGGTTCTGATGTCTGACCGCATACTGCACGGGATTTGAACCTCCTGAGACGCTGGCTAAGGTTCATGGCACTTAAAAGTTTTCCCAGCTCACAGGAATCCTTTTACACCCAGACAAGCTCGGAAACCCCAGAGCTGACAAACGCTGCCTCGGTGACCAGGTGAGCCACGGAGCCCAGCGCTACTGGGGCCCCTCAGAACCGACCGCTCAGCTCTGTCGAAGGGGCTGGCCTGTGGTAGGCCCAGAACAAGCAGAAGATTCGCTTGAGTCAAGGAAGAATCAGGGTTGGCATTACTCAACGTTATCAGTGGTGAAACCCAGAAATAAACTGGAATGGTCTTTTCCACACAAATCCTGACCACTGAAATCCCTCACAGGCATGTGTGCACGTATGCATGTGCACACGCATACGCACATGCACACGCCTGGGCCCCACAGTGTGTGCAAGCAGGACGTGTAAAACAGGAGTCCCACTTCGTGAGCCACAAATCAACACACCGTAGGATACAAACGTATAAAAAAGGCTGAGCTTTTATTTCCAAATTGGCACATGCAGAAGGCACAGGAGCAAATGGCTTTGGGGCACCAGAGTAGAAAGGGGGAGGGGTGTATTGGAGGTTCCCCTACCTGTACCACCTCCTAAGCGCACTTAAGACAGGACCAGTGGCAGGGGCTGTGGCCCTGAGGGTCCCACTGGCTCTGGATGAGAACCCTGGGACAGCTTCCCAGGAAGGAATCCCTTCTCCCAGGGTGGGGGCAGGACCTTTCCGGCTCTCCCACCTAGAGGGACCAGCGCCCTCAGGAGGGCCAGGGTCAGAGAGAGAAGAGCAGGATAAGAACCAGAAGAAGCACCCCCAGCAGCACCACAATGGCACACCACTGTCGGCGGTCTGGGGGCAAGAGGGTCAGAGGTTACAGGGGGACGGGGTACCACCCCTGCCACCCCCCACCCAGCTGCCTCCCCAAGGGGTCTTACCACTCGTCATGTGGGATACTTTGGCCATCTTCCTGAGGACCCCATCCATCCGGGACTGTGTGTGGTCCATCTCATGAGCGAAGGCATCCAGCATGCTGTCGAGACCAAGATGGTGTAAACCCCCAAAAGTGCTGGGCACACTGGTGCAGCCAACTGAGGGTTCCCAGCCCTGCCTCCCCCTCCCACCCCCAGCAGGATCCTGGCCTCACATGCCCTGCTCATCCAGCTCCTCCCCAACACGGCCGGACATGTGTTTCAGAACCCGGATGCTCCCAGACACCATTTCTAGCTGTTGATCCTGTTGGTCTAAGATCAGCTGCAGATTGAAGGAGTGGGAACTGCTATCAGCAAGGGGTCCTGAGCCGTGTCCAGGCTCCTCCTGCCCCAGGATCCCTGACCACCCACACAAACCTGCTGTGTGGCCTGCTGCTCCTCAATGTAACGGGAGGCGGCTGAAGCCATGCTGGCGTCCAGCAGATCGCTGGATGGCTTCTGGGCAGCTGGCTTGCCTGCCAGCATCTATGGGGGCACAGGGCACAGATTCAGGGAGAGGCGGCCACTCAGAGCCAGACACAGGTCTGTGGCAAATCTAGATGGTTGTTGGGAAGGTAGTCTTGGGAATGGGATAGCCTGGATTCCTCTGACCGACCACTTACTAGCAAGGTGACCCCAAGGCCATATCACTTGACCTCCCTGTGCCTCAGTTTTCTCATCTGTAAAATGGGGGAAATTCCTGGGGCTGGAATGAGGATTGACCAAATTAATCCATGGAGAACATTTATCATATAAACAGATGTATTTAAGAATTTGGACCTTAATCCTCCAGGCAGCACACCTGGAAAGCATGTGGGCTCTGATACGGGGCTCCAAACTCAGCCCCCCACCCTCCCAGATCCCACAATGGGATGGAGACAGGTGGGTTTCATAACATGCAAAGAATGGGCACATGACACAGAAGGAAAAAGTGTGCCAACAGAGGCAGCTGGGTGAGTGCCCACAAAAGGCATGAGCAGGCACACTCATGGGGGAAATGGTATGCAAGCCAACCACAGGGGGGAATTCAGAGGCCAAGTTCTCCTGCTCAGATGCCTGGGTACATACACAGAAAAGTAGGCATACATCCTGGAAACAGTAACACACCAAGCAAAAAAAGAGAAAGGAAACCGACATCCAGACCCACACCAGGAGGCAGGAAGGACTATATACACAGAGAGGGCTCGCTTGTACACAACCAGAAAGAGCAAGCAGGTGGACAGCCAGGAGACAAGTGCATGCAGAGAGAATAGACACACACACAGAAAGGACAGACAATGCAAGGGGGACAGGTGAACTAACACAGAAGGGTCAGGATCACGCGCAAAGGGGAGGGTCTCTCTCAGAGGCTCTGGTGAGGATATTGGGTCTGGATGGCTTACCTCTCTATTATTCCTCTCCATGAAGGCTATGGCTGCAGGGCTGACCATATGGTCCTTCATATCCTGGGGGAGAGGACGCCATAGTGAGTAAAGACACCCCAACCTCCCCGCACTCAGGCCACTGGAAACTCTCCTCACCTGGACTGCCTCCCGCATCCGCTCCACGAACACCTTTCTCTCCTGCAGGTCTCCGGCTGGGAGCTTGAACTTTCCTGGGTTGGCTTCCACTATGCGTAAACCCCGAGTCAGGAGTCAAGGCCAAAGCCAGACACAACCCGGTCCTCTGCCTCAAGCCCTTAACTCCTCCCAGGAGTCCAGCCGCCCCCTTCCACAGCAATGGGCTCTCCCAGGACGCCTTGCAACGCCCCCCAGGATATCGATGGTCTCCTCCAGGTCCTCGAGGTCCCACTCGATGCTGCGAAGGCCATTCCGCAGCTCATTGGTCGTCCAGTCCAGCTCTTCGCGGCCCACGGCCGCGTCCTCTTGCAGGAGCTCGCACCAGCGCTGGTACAGCCCGCGGGCCGTGTTCACCGCCTTCTGCACCTCGCTGCGGGCCGGGGTACACACAGCGGTCACGGCTGGGGGCCGGCGAGCCTCCCGCCCGCCACTGCGCCCCCAAATGAGTGGGGCGTCTCAGGATACCCTGATACCCTCCTGCGTACCCCTCCCACTAGACCCTCTGGCCGGCGCACCCTGACGGCCGTGCCCAGACCGCCTAGCACGCTCTGGCGGGCACGCGGGCACTAGCTGGCACGGGCCCGAGCACCCTCCTCCCTCCTTCATTGCTGTCACTCACCCTCGGACAACAAAAAATGGGTCTTCGAGAGACATGTCACACCCCCCCCCCCCCGCCCGAGGCCGAGCCCCCCCCTCCCCTCTCGGCTTTGGTAGCGGGTTCCCTCCCAGTAGTGGGGAACGTGCCACCACCCCCGCCCCCGTCACGTGATCCGTACCACCATCGAGAGCCGGTACGCCAGAGTAGAAAGAGAGGCTTCGGAGGCCCGATGTGCGGAAACTTCCGCCCTTCTCTCGGCCATCTTTATTGTGGGCACAGAAGCCTTCGCGTTCGCGTACCCCGCCGCCACCAGCAATCTCCCAGTTACGTTTGGCTGGGTTGGGGGATCGGAGCCGTGATCACTCAGTCCGAGACCCAGCCCTTTGGATTGTTGCTGCGCAACCTGTTTCCCTTTGGGGCAATGTGAATAATAATAACCTCCTTCAAATCAGAGATTATGGCTGGGAAAAGGGATCATTAGATTCAGAGATCCTCTTCAGAGACTTGCTGAGCCTGCACCTTGATTCTGACCTGGGAGATCTCCCCAGCCTAGGATTGGGAAGGGAAATGATGGTCCTCCCCACTCTCCCGCGGGGATGGAGGTGCGAAGTCTTTTTGGACTCCTCTACTGGGCTCTTCCCTCCTCTTTTTTTTTTTCCCTACGGAGGAAGGGCGCCTCGAGATCGACCTGGGGCGGGGTGGCTGAGTGGGGGCCCCAGAGATGCTCCTGGGGTGTGGAGTCTTTCTGGGTGCGAAGATGGCAGTCGCGGGAGGGGGTGTGGTGGTGGCTCTGAGGGTTGTAGGTACAAGGAAGTCCTCTGCGTGTGGGTTCTCCATCTGGGGAGGGGCCAGGAATGCCTGGAGACAGACTCAGAGTTGACCCCTGTGTGACAAAGGCGTTCTGTGTGGGGTCTCCGGAAATGGATTTTTTCAGAGGTGAGCCATCACATGAGTGGGGTCGTGGTCTGTTTCTGGAGAGATCGGGGCGGGATGTCTTAAGTTCTTGGAGAGTCTGTGTGCCCCTGTGCTTCAGAGTCGCTGCACAGAGTCTGAGATAGCGCCTGGGCTGGGGATGTCCTTGTGGATTCGCCGAGGTGGTGCAGGGGGAGATGGGGGCGTCCTCAGCAGGTCGCCCTAGTGTAGCAGGATCGTTGAATACGCACAGTTTTAAGAGCAAATAATTGCTGAGTCCCCATGTGCGGGGGTGGGGGGGACGAGGAGGAGGGCGGTGCGTGAGGGTTCTCCAAGGTTGCGTGGTTTGCCCGGGGTCGGGGGGGAGCAGGAATACCTGGGAGAGAACCTTGCAGGGAGAAATTTTTGTGGGGTCTCTATGGCGGAACAAGGATGAAGGGATCCTCAGCGAATCGCCCGTTGTGTTGGCAAGGTCTTTGTGGAGGGTCTCAGGGAGTTGGTGTTAGTGGAAGCCCTGAGGTTGCCCCAGGTGCCGGCGGGGATTTTCCCGGAGGCAGCCACGCCTTCTTGGCCTCAGGAGCCCGCCAGGCTGGACTCTGGTCCGGAAGCCGGAGACTACAGCCAGTCCTAGCTGCGGGGAGAGGGGGAGGAGGAGGGAAGGGGCGTGTCCGGAGGCCAAGGCACCGCCCCCGCCCGCCCGGAAGGAGGCCGCCACAGCTTAGAGTGGAGATCCCGGCCCCTGTCCTTATATGGGCAGCCGGAAGCGGCTCGCGCGCCTGCCCTACGTCATTACATCCAAATTTAGTCGTGGAAGTCTGGCGCTTCCAGTGGCCGGAAGATTCTGCCCGCCCGTCGGCGGCTGGGGAAGGGCGGGGGGGAGAGAGGAGGCTTTCCTTAAAGGGCCCTTGCCACGAATGAATGGAGCTGTAGGAACAGTTTTGCATCTTATTTTGGAGAAACTGGAAATAGGTTTTCTTGGAGCGATAGGGCGTAGCGGAGGGTGGGGCCGATGTTTGCTATCTGTCTGTTCTCTGCGTTGCTCAGTTTACAGCTCCTACCCCAACCTCGCGCCCCGGGGGGCAAAGGCGGAGCAGGGCCGTATAATCAAGGGGCGCTGCCACGTGTTCTCCCGGCCCGTCCTGTTGCCGGGTCCTCCGTCTTGCGAGTACCCAGCCCAGCCGTGGACCTCTTGTAGAGGGAAACTGAAGGGTGTTCGGTGTGGAGCGCGGGAATGGCAGCGCGGGCTGCGCTGGCGTCTGCAGACATCCGCTGCCGGCGGAATGGGCAGCTATGCCCTGGGGCCAGCAGCGCTGCCCGCCGCCTCACTGCCTACAAGGGGAGTGAGGAGGGCTGGCTTACGCTAGAGAGACGCAGGAGCTGGAGGCCCCAGTGGCCTGTTTGTTCGTTTAGCAAATACTGAACGAGTCACTATGTCTCGATGGCCCCGCCTGAAGAAATCAGGTATAACAGTACCCTTTGCGTGCGGAGTGGAGGTGAGGCATCAATGAGGTATTTTGTAAAGGAAACCCTTAACAGCGCCTGGTGGGTAGGACTTACTAGTGTTAGCACGGTTATTTATTTAAAAAAAAAACATTAATCGGTCACTGATTCAAAAAAACATTAGACACCTGGTAGATGCTAGGAACTGTGCCCACGGGGGATGTACCGGTTCGAACCCCGGTCTTCCCCGGCGCGAAGGGAAACTTGCCGCCTACAACCAGCTGGGGTTTCAAACGCAAGCACGTGGGTGGACTCTGCCGGGCATCTGCGGCCCCCGTCTTCGGGGCCTGCGCGCTAGCGCATTGAGGGCCCTGAGAAAGGAGACCACCCCGAGAGCTCCGCCTGGACCGGGGGACGCTCCCCCTCGCCCCGACTCCTGTCCCTTTTCCCCCTTTCGGTAAATCCCACCCTGTCGCTTTAAGGAGCCTCTCGCAGCGGGGCATTGGGAAGCCCGGATGCGGCTCTCCGATTGGGCGGGGCGTCTCGGTGACTTCACTCCGGGTACAAAAGGGCCCGGGTGGCGGGAGCCGGGGCAGAGCGTCCCAGCATTGTCACAGCGTGGGTTGGTGTGAGCGGAGAAGCGTGAGCGAGCGCGTTGCCCGGAGTACACCTGCTACCTGTCCTGCCCAGCCAGGGAGTCCCCGCAGCCGTCGCCCCCGCCGTCGAGCCGCCATGGAAGTGCAGAAGGAGGCGCAGCGCATCATGACTCTGTCGGTGTGGAAGATGTACCATTCCCGCATGCAGCGCGGTGGCCTGCGGCTGCACCGGAGTCTGCAGTTATCGCTGGTCATGCGCAGCGCCCGAGAGCTCTACCTCTCAGCCAAGGTGGAAGCCCACGAGCCGGAGGTGCCCTTGCCGCCTGTCCGCTCCCCTGATCCTCGCCTGAACCAGTCGCGGGAAGCGGAAGCTGTAGTCGAGGCAGCGCCCCCCGACGGTGAGCAGCCCTCCCCGGAGCCCATGGACACGCGGGAGGCGCCGCCAGCCGAGGAGACCCCGGCCCGCTGTGCCCCACGCCCCGCCAAAGTCAGCCGAAAGCGGCGAAACAGCAGTCTGAGTGACGGCGGGGACGTCGGACTGATCCCAAGCAAGAAAGCCCGTCTAGAGGAAGAGGGGGAAGGAGCCTCTGCGGAGGTCCCTGATCGCCTGCAGCCACCTCCCGCTCAAGCCGAGGGCGCCTTCCCGAACCTGGCGCGCGTCCTCCAGAGGCGCTTCTCCGGCCTCCTGAACTGCAGCCCCGCCGCCCCCCCGACGGCGCCGCCGGCGTGCGAGGCGAAGCCGGCCTGCCGCCCGGCGGACAGCATGCTGAACGTGCTTGTGCGGGCCGTGGTGGCCTTCTGAGGGTCCCTGAGCGGCGCCACCGGAGCCCAGAGCGCGGGCCGAACCGTCGGCCGCAGAGCGCAGACCCGAGGTGAGGTCCACCCCCGGGGGAGCGCCCGCCGAAACCGTGGAGAGGAGCTGCTACCCTAGGCTGCGGAGAGGCCTGAAGAGGGACTCTGCCCCCGGGGAGCCGTCGCCGCCTGTGTGCAGCGGCGGCGCCGAGGAGCCCGAGCCGGGAGCGCGAGCGCCTTCCGCCGAGACCTGCTGCGCCCACAGGTGCTGTCTTAACGGACTGGGACGTGGACCTTTCTCTCTCTCCTTCTGGGATTGGGAGCAGGGAGGCTTGGTTCTTTAAACTCCTCAGGGTCGGACTTTATTTTTCAGTGGGAGCTGTGCTGCCTTTTCAAGGTTTTTCAGTAGTTGGTGTTTGCATTTCCAACCTCAGAAAATAATTCCAGGCAGGCGCTCCCCTTCCCCCACCGAGTGACATACTTGTGCAAGCGGTCATCGTTGCGTCATGGGGCAGACGTGGGGAGCTTCCTGTTGCCTTGCGTGGGTGTGGGGCCTGGGAGGAGGGTCTGGGGTGTGAACCGCCCTGGGGAATGGGAGGAGGGCCTCCTGAGTCACCTCGCCCCGCTTGCTGCGGGTTTGTGCCCCGCGCCCCTGAGCCTTCGGGTGAATAGCGGCGGGGGGGCGGGGGTGCTGATCTAATTTCAGGTTACAGTTTTCTTATCTGGTGCGTTTAGAGGTGGGAATATGTTCACTGTCTCAAGCGTGACCATATCTCAGACACACAGACACAACCCAGACGGTCCTGGTATGAATCACAAAAATTGGTGCGGGTGTTCAGAGCGCTGTAACGCTGAGCTGGGACCAGTTGCTGGTGGGACTGGGCCAGTTTGGGGAGGGGAAGATTCTTGCCAGGGCGTCCTGAGGCCTGTTTACCTTTACTGTGGTGGTTTCTGTTTAATTTCATCTATCTGGCCTTCTGCTAGAAACGCCAGATAAAATAAAGACCATTTGAATAAAGTCTGTGCGGCCTGTCTGGTTTTCTTCCCTGGTGGGGGAGGGGCAGGGTTAAGGGGTCAGGAGCTGGCGGCGGCTTGCTGGGGCCCCAGAAACCAGTCTGACCGGCTATCACGTGGGTAGAGTGGGCGGGATGGGGCTGGGCCCCCTTTTCTTTGCCAGAGCGTTTCCGTGCCGGGTGCCCTGGTGTTCCGACTGCCTAAGCTCCCCCATATTTGGGAGTTTCTTCGACATTCTACAACTCCGGGGCGGGGGGGTTGCTGAGTTTGAGACGGTGGGGGGGATATTGCTGGGTTCAGTGCTCCAGGCGAATTGGGAGGGCCACGCCTCCTTCGGAGACTTTGGAAGGATGGCAGATCTCACCAACCCCCCCGCCCCGCTTGATCAACTGAATCCGCTTTAGCCGGGGCACCACGGGTTGCGGGGTTGTGAGCTTTGGAGCGCTCTTTACACCCCTATTGTGATCTCGGTCGGTATAACTGTGTGACTCAGGCTGAAAGGTGAGTTCCCAGCCTCAGTTTTCCTCATCTGTGAAGTGGGCCTCTAAACAGCTTTCCCTCGAGGCGGCTGTAGAGTTAGAAATGCCCGTGAGAGCCCTGGTTATTTGGTTTGGGTCCAACCCAGCTCCGTTTCAGTCACCCGAGGGCCGAAAACGCTAATTCACCCACCGCTGATCTAAGAGAGGGCCTGTAAGGCGTTGCCCCAGGGCGGGTGGCGGGGTGGCTGTTGGGAGGACAAAGGAGCCGCAGGTGCGGACAGTGAGGACGGCGGGAGGCTCCGGCAAAGTGGCCGCCCCGCCTCCAGACGCCTGGCTCCGGCGCCGCGAGCCTTCTGCGACCCCTGGGGACCTGACCCCGAGGCCCTAGGGTGGAAGGAGGAGGGTGCGGTGGAGGGCGGACCGGTCCCGGAACGCCCGCCTCCGGCTCCCCTCCTGCCTCCTCCACCTACCCCGCCCCCCACTCCCCGCCTCCCACAGGGTGCTCCCTGGGGAATCTAGCCTCGCTCGCCTCCACGGCCACCTGATTTCTTTCCTGGGAAACATGGGAGACTTTAGCGCCACCCACTTGGGAGTCCTGACCCATAAGACCCCAGTGAGACGTCGGTGGGAGGACGGGAGCCCCACCCCCCCCGGGGCAGTTCAGTGCGTTCGCGTGGGAGCAGATCCCCCGAGAACCTAGCGGGCCCCGGGAAGTCCCTGGCGGCTGGGGAGGGGGCCCTCACTGCGCATCCTGTCGCAGGAACGTCCTGGCCCTTCCTTCCTCCCGGGAAGCGGCCTGGCTGGTCCCCGCCCCTGCCTCCCGGGGGTAGGGGGGTGGGGGGCGGTTTCCGGTCTGGGGGCTGGAGGTGCCGCGGTGGGAGACAGGAGATCCCCTCTAAGATACGCCCCTTCCCGAGACCCCCATTTCACCCTTCAGAATAGGCAACATTTGTCATAATAACCAACTGATGAGGTTTGCAGTTTTCACACCTTTACGTGGCATTGGATTATTGGGATAGGCCCTGGGGTGGGGGTGGGGGCAGTCATTGATGGGACAGTAGCTGTGAAAACAAAAAATATCACCTATCCCTTGACCAGTGGATCCTCCAGGGAGCCTCAGGCCGGCAGCAGGAGGCTCCAGGACAGCGTTCACTACAGCACTGTCCAAACAGGCCCAAACTGGAAAAAACCTACATGCTCATCATCCAACTGAACTGGTCCCTCCCCAGTGAAGAAACGGTAGGAGGGGGACAGGACGGAGTTGTGGGGTCAGAACACAGATCCTGGAGCCAGTCTACCAGCTCTACTTGCTGGCTGTGCAGCGGTGGGCAAGTCACCTTGTCTCTCTGGGCCTCAGTTTCCTTCGCTGTAAATTGTGGAGACTAGCAGTCCCTACCGCTCAGGTTCATCACGAAGAGGAAGTGACGGACTAGGTATAAAGTGGTTGGGGAACGCCTGGCACACCGGAAGTGTTGTTATTTTATTATCGTGGGAACCCAGGGGGAGAACAGTGCCGCCATTTAGAAGCACATACAGCCCTACAGACATACATGTCACGTGTGCACAGACGCTGGGCTCATCCATCCCAGAGAGCTGGGACAAATAGTTCCTCCCTCCAGTGGGCCGGTGTGAACGAGGGTCAGCCTCCCCTCCTCAGCTCTGGAGTTTGGTCTCATTCTAGTGACTTGACAGGGCTGACTCTTCCCTTCTGGGGGGTGGGGGAACACCTCTCAAGCCAAGGGCCTCTGTCTACACTCAGCCCTTGGTAGTAGTCTCATTCAGTCTTAGGGCTCTAAATGCCGCTCTGCGCTGACGCCCATATTTCCCTCTCCATCCTGGACCTACCCCCTGCCCCCAGACTTTCTGTTCAAGCCACCGCCCTATGTCTCCTTGTGGGGCACTAAGGTATCCTGAACCTGATGGGACCCAAAGAGAATTCTTGCTGTTTCCTGCCAGCCCCCCGATTGAGGGAGCCTCCTTGAATCCCTTTTTCTCCTTTCCTCGGACGGCACCCAGTCCCAGGTGCTGTCCACTTGACTTCCCATCCCACTCCACTCTCTCCACCTTCAGGACTCCCATCTTAATGTGAGTGGCGGCCATCACCTCTCCTCTAGGTCAGGGCAGTGGCTTCCTCCCTGCCTTTGCCTCCTCAGTCCATTCTACACAGCAGCTACACAGATCTTACAAAATGCAGATTGGATCATTTCACTCTCTGGCTCCCCTCTGCTTCATCCACAGTGGCCTCCTTCCTGTTTGGAGAACCGGCCAAGCATGTTCTAGCCCAGGGCCTTTGCACTTGCTGTTCTTCTGCCTACGATGCTCTTCTCCCAGACGCCCAACCTTTCTTTCTTCAGATTTTTGCTGAAATGTCACTCCCTTGGAGTGGTCTTTGGCCACCTGATCTAAAACACCTCCCCATTCTGCCACTCGGCTCCTTTACCCATCTTCTTGAACTTCCTTAGGTCACTGCTTACCGTCCGAAAGGGTACATTTATGTTCTAATTAGCATCTGTGCCCTCATTCGAATATCACTTCCACGAATGCCCAACACAGGCCTGAAAGAGTGAATGGGGCTGTCTGGGGTAAGCAAGTGATAAGTGCTAAATATTTATTGTCTCATTTAATCAGTGGCTTCTCATGACTCTTAGAATTTTCCAAATTTCAGACAGCTGACAGGCAGGATTTTTGTCGTATCTGCATACCGACTGTACTACTATTTATCTAAAAATTTTTCTTATTGTAACTCACTTGTTAATCACTAACCATACTTAGAAGGTAACAGTTAATAAAAGTTACAGAGAAAACAAAAACGTCATAAGATCCTGCTGAAACAGCTTTCTTAGTTAGAAAGCGAGATTAGCAAGTTACACATTACTAGGATAGGAAGAGGCCTATCTTTAGTCAGAAGACTAGGGGAAGACCGAAAGCTGAAAAGAGAGAAACTAAAGGATTCATTCTCTTCTTTAAATATTAGCATTACATCACTTTGCCCACTATTCCGGAGTTAGGAAAATTCTGCTTCTGGAAGAGAGACAAAGCTACAAATGCCACCCCCCCCCATTTTAGTCCAAGACTCCTGTTTATGGACATCCAGATCAAGAGCTACTTTTTTTTTTCCCCCTGGTAGTATCATAGTTGCAATTTTACATTCGTTTCTGGGTTTGTCTCTCCTAGCCTCTAGCCTCCATGCAAGCGCAGAAACAAGTCTAGCAGGTGCGTACTAAGTGGTTTTTTTTGTGAATAAATGATCACTTGGAACTCTCCTAGGAGATCGGTCCTTTGAACTCCACTTTTTACGGATCGGGAAGCTGAAACCAGAGAGGATCGCCTCGCCCTGCAGGAGAGCAACTAGGGAACAGCTCTAGTCGTGTCCGCCATCCCCAAATCCCCTCCCCTCTCCGTTGTGCAGGACAGGCGCCCCGCTGAAGCCTCCGCAGAGCTGGGAAGGGGCTGGGCCACAGAAGCAGCACCCAGACCGGTTTACCCGCTTCCAGGAACCTGGGCGAGGTCCGCGCGTCCGAGAGGAGGAAACGCAGGCCCTGGCCAAGCGAGGCGAGGACCGCACTCTGGCCGCGAGGAAACCTGACTTCCGGGCGGGGCTGCCGGGTCCGTAACTAGACAACGCGGGGCGGAGCGATCTGGCTGTCAATCACAGGCGGGGGCGGGATTTACGAGTTTACCGGGTCTCGTGCTTTGCTCCGGTGCCGCCCCTGCGCGCGGCCCCGAGTGACTTCCAAGAATTCGCCGGGTAGTTCGCAGCCGGGTCCACGCCCCTCGCCCCCAAACCGGTCCCTTCCGGAGCCCGCCCAGGCCCTCAGCGCTTGGCCCCCTACTCCCAAGCACGCCCCGCGGATGGAAGGCGGAGGTCGCGCCGGGGGCGTCTGGGGTTGGGGGCCCGGCTCGGAATCAGGTAAATGGCGGAAAAAGCGGAAGGGAAATGGGGATTGCCAGCGTTTGAGGCTTACGCCCCCCACCGTCGTCGTGGTGGCTGCTGAAACCCCCATGTGTCCACAGGAGCCCAGAACCCCACACCAGCGTTCAGGGGGACCAGAGCCCCCGCAGCAGTGTCTGGTGGAGCTCAGATCCACATACCTATGTTCAGGGGAGCCCGCACCTTGCCCACCCGTGTCCAGAGTTGCTCTCGCTAGGGTACTTCTCTGTTTCCTGAGGCTCAGCCTAGGGCTTTTATTCCCCCAGGTTCTGTGTTAAGGGGAGTTTAGGTCTCCCGAGATTTGTGTGCAGGAGAGCTGAGGCCAAGGTCGAAGGCCTTCTACCTACTGGTTCAGGCTTGAGACCTCCCCCACAGCCACCTCCCAGCCTGATCCTTTTTAACGCAGCCCCTCTCAGCAGAAATCTCCCTGGGTTCCCGGCCCCCGCCCAGCTCTTTTTATTTCTCTTGGCCTTCCAACCTCCCGGCTTCATCGGCCCCGACTCCCCCCCCCCCCCCCCCCCCCGCCTCCCCCAGCACATTGTTGATTCTCAGCTAAGAAATAATCTCAGTGTTCTCTGACCCCCCACCGTTTCAGCT